CATTTGGGTTTTCGGCTTCGACGCCCGTCCGGCTAGCACATCGTAGTCGATGCAGCTAAGAGTAGCTCAGTAAATTAAATTAGAGACAGCCAAATTTGTCATAATATCCGCCCTTCTCGTTACGGTATTTAAAAGAAGCAAAAATGTGCTCTCTCTTACTAGTGATAAGGAAAAGGACCAAAAAGGCGACACTGTTAATTTGAAAGTAGCATTCACATCGGAGGCAGGACACGGATAGATGCCGAAGGCGACCGGCACTGACTCTCCACTCCTCACCTCGGTGTAGGTGCCCTCCACCCTCTCGAAGCTCCACTTTATTATCAAAAAGTCGATTTCAAAGATGTTTGTCTTCTAGTGCTAAATTCTATTTCCGCCACTCCAAAACCTAATAGAAAGTGGTAAAATGCACACTACTGCAGGGGCCGCTGCCTATACTACTGAAGACCGGAGATGCAAGTTCGTGATGGACTAGACACTCGCCATTGTCCCTCCGATGAATTTGCCAAGACATAAATGTTGCTACAATAAAGTACCTCCGTGGGCACATTCAAACAGGGCAGCTGGTGGGTTTGGCGCTTTACGGAACACTCTACACTCTGAAGACAAGCGCAAGAGATCTGTCAAATGTGAGTGCTCCAAAGGGGTGGAAAAAAACGCATCAGATCAAGAATCCTTGTTTATTGCAGAACTTTGGTCGTGCGGACAACAAAGAGCACGACTAATCCACTTCTAGCCAATGACATTCTATGCTATGCACCGACGTTATCCCAGTTGCGACTTTCAAGACACCTTACAGACATCTTAGCATTGCTGTAGCCTTTCCCTCATTGGTGTCTGAATCCCGCCTGGCTGTTTTCTCAAGAGGATGTTTGCTTATGTGGAGGTTATTAGGCTATAATTGGTAATCCGGAAACAAGAGAAGATAATACCCGCCCCGGTCTGAGAGCAACGTCGGCTCAGATTTCACAGAAGCGAGGTGATGATCTGACGACCCTTACAACGCAGTATTTGCGACTCAGAGATCTCAAAAATGCATATCTAGGCTCTCATCCTCAACTGCTCATCAACCTCGACACTGACTCAGCACCACCAGATTACAATTTAAAAGTAGGTTTGAACGGCTTTGTCTCAAATAACGGAGATCACATAGCCTTACTGCCCAATGCAGATACTAAGACAAGAGTCATAAACTTCAAACTTGACTCCCTTGAGACACCGCTACCAGTTTCTTGTAATTCTAAATTAGTCGCGAAAGGAGACACTCCAAAACTTCACTCCCATTTCGGCTTGCAGCAGACCTTTTCAGCAAACCGACCCGAATCCACTAGTGCAACTGAAAACTTCCGAAACATGACTTCAGAGACGCTTCAATCGTTCGGCTGAGAGAGGATTATTTCACGGATCGACACGCCTTAAACTGACCATTTCTCCTTTCCTTTATCGCTCTTTCGATAACTCGAAGTTGTGTCAGCATCGCTGCTCAATGACCACAAACAATATTCATCACTCGTTTTAATCCCTACCGACATTGCATGCATCTTGCAACGTCTCCCACACCCTTGACCTTATTGTTAGCTTCGCGGAAAGAATAAGAACCCAAACTTCTAGCACAATTTTCAGCAACACCATTCAGTGTGCTGGGCGACCGAGAGCCCACCTTCGCACTAGCAGGCAATGTGTACAGGTCAAACAAAGCATAAACGTAAGAAAATCGGGGGATCAGGATCCTCGTGTGATCAAGGAGCTTCACAAGAGGCGCCTGATCGTTGGACTGCGCTCCAACGGACCTTCTTTCGAATCGGTGGGAGCATTGAAAGTGGGAAATTTTTGAGAACCGAGAGAGACGTACTGAGTAAATATTGGTCGCCTTCCGCCCTCAGCTTCAATCTTAATTTTCAAATGAAAATTAAAATGAAAGTTAATAAAACTACCTTCTTATGCCTAACGTTAGTAGTATCGGCTCCGTAAGTCATGTGGGAGGCGGGTCCAAATAACCGAACAAATTACTTCTATTTGGAACCATCCTAGGAGATTCTTATTTGCAGGACTAGCTGTGAACCTCAGAAGATTAGTTTTTCTACTGTCTATCCAACTGCCATTCTATCATACTGCTAGGTTGAACCGATGGATTGCACAAATACAAAAAGTCGCGAATAGCTTTTGCAATTTCCCTAAAACGTACCGCCTGCTCAGCTGGAACGTAGACAGCAATATAGTTGGCATCCGGAAGGGCAGGATAGGTGGAGTAAAGCGATGGTAGAGATGGCATTCGAGGAACGGGGTTGGTAAACATATTTGTTTCGTGACTCTGAATCGTAGAAGTCGACCTTAAACCACCTTATTTTCTTAATTTATCAAGCACACGGTGGTGGTGGATTTTTATAAGGCACGACAGTGAGTGAGGACATTATCAACGAAAATGTCATCCACAAATTCGGGTCCTGAATTTGCATTAGGACACTTCGAGTCGTTTTACGGATGTACAACTAATTCGAGGAATCGAACATGCTAAGGTACAGACAAGTTAGTACGTCTAAGGCAGCTACTGAGATCCCTTGATAGAGGTGGTGGGTAGCACACTACGTAACTACTGATAAAAACCAAAGTAAAATTTGCTGCCAATTTTAGCCCCGGATAAGGTAAAAATCACAACTTTACCGAAGATGGAGATGTGATTTTCTGACTCCTTGCAATGTTTTGTTGCTGAAATTGGAAAGAAAATCCCCCTGAATGAAAGACAAAGTGTAATGCCATCTATGCATTCCTTAAACAATGTCGTATTTGAAGCCTTAGACACTACTACTAATTTGTTAGTTGCAGTAGTACGGTCGACACATTGTAATGGTTAGCACAGAACATTCGGAAATAGACAATTCTGCAATTAGAATGGACGCTACCCACAACTGAGAGACAGAACTGGTATTAACAGATCTACCAACTGCAAAGTCGTCGAGACGCTGCGCCACAAAGTGGAAAACAGCAACGGCTCTTACTTTGGCAGCTGAAGAGATTTTAGTCAAGATGGTTTGCATGAGACACGGCTCATTTCACAGTGAAAGCAACACACTTACATGATCAACACAATCGATGTGCTTCGTTAGCTCATCATAGCGGAGGTATACAAAGCACGCATTACAAAAGAATAGGTCACCGCGAGTAGTGATGTTGTGCTTTTGAGCAAGAGAATTAATATCCTGCGAGGTCCCATTCTCCTGCGCGACATTACCCTACAAGCGAAGCAACGACTTAGAGATCTCACAAGGCTAAACACCACCATCCCAAAGGCTGCCACGTATGCTCTAGGCGTTTTATAAATCTTCACGTAATGTCTACCGGTAAAACAAACCTCCTGTGACTTTGCAACGATTCCACTTTGGCTGAAGTATTCAGGAATTTGTCGAGCAGTTCCACCCATTGTGCGTGCAGCTGGGCGCTCCACCGGCCCGTATAACTGAGTATCAATTGTCTCCACCTTTCATGGAGAAAAAGGTGTCTACTTCCGTACAAAATTTGCTACCATAGCTGTAGCGGAGTTGAACTGACTTCGCACTTTTAGCCCGAGTTAGGGTTAGGCAGCCGAAACGCAAAGCGTACGCGAGGGAGTAAGAAGGTGAGGCAGATCTGCACAACTCACGGCTTTTACTTGCATCAAAGAGTTTTGAGACCGTTGGGGCTGCACTTGGGGATATTCTGTCCGATTGGCCTTGAGCATGCAACGAAAACAAAAAAAACCAGTACAACCTTCCCAACAAAGGCGAATCCCCGGAGTAATAAAGAGAACGCTTAAAATGTTTATTCTCATTCCCGATATCTTGGACATGCTGCCAATTTTGGCTTTTCTTCCCGACCCAGCCACTTTAACCGGCCGGAAGTTTGATCTTATAACAGTGTCAACGGGGACGACAGTTCTTAATTATTCCGGAATTGGTAGGAGAGATGCTTTTGGAGATGCCTTCGAGTTGCTTTAGCCTTTTCTATCTCTTAAAGAGGCTTTATGAAGACCACTGTACAGGGAGGTGGGCAGAGATTAGACGACGTGACAAGATTTTTAGGCAAATTTGCAGGAACATCTGAACTATTCTTATTAGGTATTTGATTTGAATGACAAATGTACGTAAAAGTAAAGAAACTCAAGAACCATAAGGAGTGCTTCCGTTTGAATCAACTAGAAAACTTGACGAAAACTGGTCATTTGCGCTAAAATGCTAAAAAAAATGTAAATTTAGCAAATCTTATAGGACGATGCGACCACTTCTGAAAGCCTTCAAAGGACCATGATCGTGGAAAGAACTACCACCTGCATTAACCCAAAATTGATGGACAGTAGAAAACACTTGAATCCATTTCGCCAGAGTCTTGCCACGTTGTCAAACAAGTATAAACCACCAGTCGTTAATATGCGATCTTGGTCTCTTGATTGGAATTGCCGAACATTAATACCAAGAGTCAAATTTACACTCGAAGCCACTCGATGCATCCCAGAGTTTTGCGACACACGACACGCTTAAGTAAGTTTCGGTCATTGCCATGACACATGACGTCCTATTTACGTCACTTCATTCAACGACGCAGCAGCTCTTTGTGACGATAATAAAGTTCTATCCAAGGTCATTCAAGTCTGCAGGAGGGAATGAGACACAAAGGTATTGGCTAGTCTGCTTTTCAAACATCTGTGATTTCACCGACCATTGGCTTCTTCGGGAAAATCGGTCACAACCAGATCGGCCTCAGCCGTACAAATTCCATACGCTCTTACAGTTACCAAGTTAGTTTGACATAAAATCACTGTCCAAATATTTGATTATTTGCCTCCGTTCGTGACTCGATGTGATTAGGTCTGTCGGAAAAGCATAGTTCACCACATTCGCAGTTTAAAAAGTTTTCATGGTCATATATGGCTGCAATTGTAACTTGCTACTAGAATACTTCGTCTGATCAACAAATTCTTGGAAAAAAAATCAGCATAAAACCTAAAATTTTACGATTGTATTGCAGCGCTTTACTCTACAGAGCATCACAATGAACACAAATACTGACCTCCAGGTTGCTCTATAGCGCCCTAACCGAAAATAAACCAAATAACCAAACTTGGTTTCAAAGATGGCTAAATTTTAAAAAGGTTGACATTCAATGTGACCGCAAGGACCTGAAACTCGATTCCTCATTAGTTGCAGACTATCATCACTTCAGGCATTGCTAAATTTTAGTGGCGATTAAATCAACCTAACTTTGTTGGGAAGGTGAAAGTTATCCCTATTCAGGGCTTTTGAAAAGACAAATTTTAAGCTTTCGACTAGAGGTTGCAAGAAAAAAGCAGCCTTTTCACAGCAGTTGGACTTCCTCAGTTGCATGTAAGTTGAGAGAGCCTTAATGTAGTTAAGTAGGGCTCAAATTCTATGAGTGTCAAAAACATTTTTGCGTTTAAGGTGAGGAAAGTCACAAAGATAATGATTTTTTAGAAACTGGTAGCATTATAATAGGCATCGACGTCAGCATCAAACATAAATGTTAAGGCGAATAGAGGTTTACGCCTTTTCGATGCGTGTTAACTCAATTTACAATAAGTCAGTCAATGTACGTCATTTTAAAACCATTCTTTACTGTACTTTCCCCCACTAGCTAAGGAATCCTTGATGCTTTAACTTAAGCGAAATTTTTCGAGGAGTGCAACAGTTAACATTTTCCAAAGCATCAATTTCAACTCACGTTAGTTGTATTTTCGTGAGACAATCTCGGCGTTGAATAAGGGACATTGCCAAAAGTTAAAGATGGTACTTTTTCAGTGTGTCCCACTGAGGAGTTCGGAGGAACGGATGGTGTGTTTCGATTAACCTTAAGAGAGCAACAAGAACCTCTTTTACACGAGTACTGTTCCGTACTAAAAATCCTGATTACACCGCGGTTAATTATTACCAGTCCACGGCGTCCAGCTGAAAATTGGTGACGCGGAGTGAGAAGATGCGCTTCGAAAAGGTACTTGCCATCGAAATCCAAACCACATTCCTCACAGAAGAACGAGCTGTTATCATTTGCTGTTGACTGCGACACTGTTTGGACTGGTAGTGGTTGTGAATATGGAGGGGCCGCAAAATGAGGGAGATTCGTTTTAGTCACGGTGGAAGGGACTGCAATACGGCATGAATGGGACAGCAGTTTGTCCAATTCCGAAAACGATTGTCGACAGTCATTACATTGAACGTTTATTGACCTAGACTGTTGGTGACAGATGAAGCAGTTCTCGGCAATCAACAGGAATAATTCAATACTTTTGACAATATTGACACTTACACAAGAAGCTAGTGATCCTGCTGACTCTCTTAACTCCGTTTGTGTTTGTTTGGAAGACACCGCCTTCACCTCAGAACTCTAGAAGTACCAAATCAAGTATATGCTGCCCATTTAGTAACAGCTGCTTTTCTGTTAGAAAACCCGTCCAAAATGAATGCAACTTTGCATTAGGGAGTTGAGGTACCTCAAGGGCACTATTTATGTCCCAATTCGCTGATATTTTTTAAATGACGCCATCAATACAATTAGATGATTCCGACAGTGTTAGAAGACAAGTTCACTCCTCGTGATTCCTTTCCATTAACATTAGACTGCCTTTACCATGAAATTAACTAGCTCGCCGTCCTTATGGACTGATTCAAACTTAAATACGGATATTCAAAACTGTCATTTAAGAAAACAAAATCAATTTCAAGAATTCAACTTAGTAGAGTTGCCCACTTTTGGCACAAATATGTATCATCTTAAGCGTCAATACGAAGAACTTTGCAAGCTTTGTAATGTCAAGCCAAAGCTGCGAAAATAAACAAAAAAAGTTTACTGGTAGACTGTTGCCAGAACTCAGTGTTTCACGCTAATGAGTGATTCAACTTATTTGTCACCTAATAGCCGCATTATTACCTTGTAGGTCGGCGGAAGCGTTTGCTTTGGTTTTTCAGATTGCAGCGTAATCTACAAAACAGGGTGCATTTTAGAAGCTTTCAAGGCCGAAGGGGTTCAAGGTCCTTTTTTTCCTGATAATGCGGCCTCAAACCACTGATTTCCACCATTCAGTAATCATTCATTTTTTGCCATGTAGGAACAAACAGATGAATGAATATTATGGTTTTAGCAACAGACGCTCATAAGTGGTACAGTAAGACTTTCTACCCGGAGCACACTCTTTAACCAGACTTTTGCAAAGCGTAAAATCTCTAAATTACTATTTAGAGTCCAAAGTCCAAGAATAAATGTAGATTTTCTCTAATAACATTACGTACCATAAGATGGTATAGAATTATGGAACAGATTTGTACAAATTAAAGGAGACTGAAGCAAAGCGTCACATAATCTCACATCAACGTTACTTTTAGTAATCAACTCACTCCTTCCGACCGTGGCAACTGTGGGAAATTTCCGATCTGCTGTGGTCTAAATGATTCTCCTCCTCTCTATCAATCGAAAGAATAAATTACTGATTTAAATCAGGCCATTCCTGAATTTTAAATGATGCCACATTTAGGGAATAATTCATGGAACATTCAAGCGATGTGGTAAAGTGGATACTAACAGTACTGGTATATGGATTTATTCACGAAGCCAATTAACTAATGCAGGCTGAGTCATTACATTTTTGATTGCACAACAAAGCATTTCCGAGTTTTTAGTTTGCACACATCTATTTGAACTCCCATTTCATAGGCAGTTTTAAAAAGCACTCGAGACAGCACTTCGTTCCACTTCTACAAACAATCAGTAATCAGACCTCAAGACTTGGCTATCTCAGACGGCATGACTTCCTGTTATTGAAAAAAATGTACTAAAAAATGTACTAATTAGGGCATCTTACTCCCTCAGTTGTGATGTTGGACCGGGTTGAAGTCCGAATGTATCCGCTATCCTAAAAGGGATGCGAACTTTACCATTTGCGAGCACTGGTTATCATGAGCACCGCTGTGGATCTGCGGCACTATTAGCTGCACGTGGCTTGTAACAAGCCAGCTAGAAGTAGCTTCCTCTAACGGTCACCATAAAATGGAGTTGATCATCAAGCGTATAGAGGAGATAGAATTGACTCAGCTAGGCGTGATGTTTGAAGGTAGGTACTCACTTCAAGTCTATTTTCTTGAGGCATTTGCCGAACTGAAACTTGTGGTGTGTAGATCTACGTAAATAGAAAAAAAGCAAAAAAAGAAAATTACAGAGTAGTTTCGTAGTGAAGGTGCGTATCGGTATCGCGACTTGCGCGACAGGTCACAATCTCACATAGGCTTCAGCAGGCAGGTGAACCAGCTGATGCGATATCGGCTACAGTGACCTGTAATCCAATTTTCGAAGAAGATGATAACAGCCTGGAACCTCCTTTAATGCTGCCTCTTTAATTGGCATTGCTGATTTGTTTATCGCTTCGTTACGGTTGCCGCAATCACTGTGCCACCCTTGGACGACATGACCACAGAGGTGGTGCCAGTAGCTCCCCAGCCCCTCTTTACTCCAATCCACGCATGTCATTGCTGTTCATCTCAACGGGGCAATTGAAAAAGGCACACAAAAATGTGTCAACGCCACCGAAGAGGCATCAGTGCGATCGCTTTGCTTTGCGAGGCCCACTTGCAATACCCCCAAGGTTAGGCAAATTGAATATTGGCTATCCTTAAGCTAATAAGTCACCTCTAAGTCCTCGAATGCCTCCACTTTACCATCCACCCTTTGACAGTTATCATC